TCATTATTTGTTGCAAAATTTGTTTTTCTATGATCTTCACCAAAAAATAAAAACTAAAAACTAAAAAATAATTGCAAAATTGTCATGATATTGTGAAAATCATAAAGTTTTATTATTTTTTTGAAGTTATTTTTTTTATTGTGGACATCTTCAAAAACTATTTTGTAACAATAAGAATGTTTGTAAGTGTGAAAATTAATTATTCGGTTTAGAGATATTTTTCTTAAAAGTTAGTGTAAAATTTAAAATTTTAAAAATGTCTTAAATACAACTCACTAGTACACAAGTCATTTAATAGTGCGAGTGGTTTTATTTATTGATGCGGTCCCTTCTAAAAACCGCATTATTAAATGTCTATAGCATCAAAAAAATAAAAGAATTGCACTATAAAATAGCTTTGTTAGTGTGGTTTCCCAAAATCGCACCATTAAAGCATTTTTTGATACGGTTTCCCGAAACCGCACCAAAAAATCATGTGGAAACCACCCCAAAAAATAATTACAACCTCGCCAAACAAAATTCGTACTAAAAAACATTGAACCGCACCAAAAAACAATTCGCACTAAAAAAATATTGAACCGCACCATTAATCTTTTTTCTAAAAATTTCATTCGAATTTTTCATTTTGCGCTAGATCCCTCAAAATTTCATTCAAAATTTTCATGTTTTTCAAAATTTTCATTCAATCTTCCCTTTTTTTTTATATAAAGTTGGATATGCAACCTCTTCTCATAATTATAGATTTGTCGATTCCATGCTTGAAAACGCGTGTGAGGTATGTCCATTATTTATCTTTTTTTCATTAACGGCATTTGTGCCTCCATTTTTCTCTTATTAATTGTAAATGGATGTCCTATTTTAAGTTTTAATGATGTTTTCTTGTTTTGAATCTCTACAGATGCCTCTTCTTCCGTGATATATATCCAAAAAAGGATCCAAAGACTTAAGATGTTTGATTCAGTGACTTTCAATCAACGGGTATTGAGCTAGTTTTTGTTGAGTGTATTTTAAGATGTTGAAAAAGAAATTGAAAACAACATCGATGAAATGTGATTTCCCAAGAACAAATTTTTAATTGGTAGATAAAAAGAAATTGGAGAGATTGAAACCACCCCTTTTGGAGAAAAAGAAATTACGATTAAACATTTGATTGAAAAACACTCACCGAACATACCTAAATACAAGAAAATGAAGCTTCATAAGTAGCGTGGTGTGGATCAATGGCGAACTGCTTAATTGGTGCGGTTTTAGCTAGCTATTTTTTGAGGCGGTTTTGACTATTTTTTGGTGCAGTTTTGGCTATTTTTTTAGGCGGTTTTGGCTATTTTTTTAGGCGGTTTTGACTATTTTTGGTGCGGTTTTGGAACCGCACCATTAAATAAGGGTATTTTTTGATGCGATATTTTTTGGTGCGGTTCAATACCCGCATCAATTAATCATTTTAATCGCATCAACAAATGGTTTCTGTACTACTCTCACTATTTTTAAAAGTCAATACCATAGTCAAAACTATTTTTTTTAAACGACAAATCTAACATACTCCTAAACTACACCTTAAGTCAATCTATGTCCACGACAAGACTTGAACCCTCAACCTCAAAGAGGGAGGACAACACCGGATAACGCTGAATTATAAGCCCTTTGGTAGTCAAAACCACTTACACATTGATGCGCCTCTATCAATAAAACTAAATGCATGATTTTTTTTTTCTTTTTTACATTTATAGTCCCTCGTATTTTAAATTATTTTCATTTTTCTTGTACGATTAACAACTTTTATATTTATGATTCTCTATTTTATATATTATTTATATATAATCTTTTATATTATATTGCATAATCTTTAATATATATATATATATATATATATATATATATATATATTTATTTTGAATAAAAATTACATATTCATAGTTATGAAAATAATATAATTATATATTAATGTTAAATAAAATATATTACTTTTCAAAATACAAGTAATCAAATTTATTGATAAAATGGCATGTGTCGATTCTATAAGACGCAAATTATAAGTTTTAACAAAATATACGTAACTGCGGAAATATATACAGTTGAACATGGCGCGGTCTTGTATGCGAGAAAACGTGTTACGTAAAATGAATTGTGACAACACTATACTTTAAGGGTTTGCGACGCGACGACATCAAAACCACTGAGCGGTTGAAAGTAGAATGTTAATTTATTTTGTGACCGATTATAAGAACGTAAGCAAAGAAGTGTCACATAAAGTCCAACGCGGCGCCGTGAGAAGTCTACCGCGGCATTGTAAACAAAACAGAACATAAGTCAAATTAATCATTATATAAAAAGAACATATTAACCAAATTGCCTTTAAATTAACATAAAATTGGTCATTGAACTACTATTGTCCCCGATTTTTCTGATCCGACCAGTTCGTACCCTCGATTTTTAAAACATTGGAAATCATTGACCTATCTAATAAATAATAATAATAACAAATTAATGTGATATTTTTTATAAAGTTCGCTTTGTTTGATTTTTGTATTTCCCTTTGTCAAAAGTGTGGAAAATTAATAAAGATATGTATATTTATTTTTATCTAAACTAATGATACAAATATCTAATAATATTTTCGAAACAAATAGGTTGTAATTTGAAAATATCTAAGTAAATGATTTATGTATACATAATAAATTATTTTTATATATAATAAAAGTTAAAAAGCTAGAAACCTATAATATAAATCTACTTATATAAAACAAAAGTTAGGTGTAAAATGTAACAATTATATAAATCAAAGGACTAACAGAAAATATATATATATGAAATCACGAAATCAAAATTGATTGACACCCGTTCATAGTATGGTAGTAAAATATTAATGTCAAATGAAACTAGCCAAACTGGGTAGTTGGTCTAGCGGTAAAGATTGACTATTTCAAATAAAAGTTCATGGGTTCAAGTCTCATTAGGAGATATAGATGGTGTTTAGAATTAACTTAAGAGTAATATAGTTTGCCGTTTCAAAAAAAAAAACTAGCCTATTATTAAATATCATAGTTATGGCATTAAAACTCCCCCAAAATAACATATAGTTTTAGAGAAATTAAATATGTTTTTATGCTTTTATCGTTTGTTCTTATCTACTTTTTGTCCATATAAAATAATGATAGGTAAATTTACTTTTTTTTTTAATTTCTTCTCTTAATTTTGATATTTGTATTATTCTAATGAGTAAAAAGATTGGTGGTAACAAAAGATAAGAAGAATATTTAATTTCTTATAATTTTACAACTAGATTATAACCCGCGTTAAACGCGGGGAACGTATTAAAAAAATTACCAAAACATTTACTGCAAATAAAATAATAAGGGAAAGATTAAGGAAATCACCTTTAAACTTAAAACAAATTGACAATAATAGGCTTGGTCAACATAGTTTGTTATTTAAACTTAAAACAACTTGACAATAATAGACTTGGTCAATTTAGTCCATAATCGGTTGTAAGTCAACATTGTATTAGAAGAGATCTAAAACTATTCAGTTTATGTTTTTGTGTGTGAAAAATATGCTTGAAGACATAACAATGACCAAATACTTGAATTTTATCTGAATTATTATAATTTTGTATTATACATAGAAAATAAAACATGAGTTTATGATTAAAAAAATAAATAAATAAAACTAATAAATCATAGAGTAATATAAAATATTTAAATAGTTCATTACAAAAAACAACTATGTTCGAATGCAAATTAAAATATATATAATCACTAATATCTACTTGGCATAGTCACTGTATCATAATCAGAACGGATCGAAAAAACTTGTTAAGAAGGATGTGCCGGAACCACATACTTAATCGTATTTCCTTTAAAGAAATATAGGGTATTGTTTCTATATTCCCACCATTCATGTGCACCTTCATTGTAAGTACTAACATCTACTTTAACCCACCGGTTGTGAATGAAAACCCAAATAGCCCACAAACGATCTCCACTTACAGAGAAATATCCCAATTTTCCGTGAAACTTGATCAGTCTCGATGCATACGGTTTGAAGTCATTAATAGTAGAAAGTGCAAATATGAGTATATGTTCTTCTGAATAAATATCAAATCGCAATATGGTATCATTAGATAATAAGAAGTAAACGGCACCGCCACTTGTAACTGTCTCATCAGAAACAGGATAAACAAACAGGATAAACAGATGATGGTAACTGGATATTTTGAAACTCCCTCCATTACCATGTAGTAGATGAAAACAATTCTATGTTGTAGTAATCGTAGTCCACTTTTTCCTTAAGCATATTACTACAAATAAAATAACATATAAGTAAATAATAAAGTAAATTAATAACATAAAATATACTACATATAAACTCTTACGATGGCATTGTGTATGACAATCGAATGACCTTGAAATGTTATAATGTTAATGACTAAAAAATATATAAGATTGATACCTCCAACGACTTCACCCAAAGTTTTTTCATCCTTCAATTGACTGATTAATGAATCAAGTTTAATTTTGAATATTCGTGTGAGAATATCTGGCCTGTCTTCCGATTTAAAATTCTCGGCTTCAACAAATCTAATGATTTCTGGCTATTTAGGATTACATGTAAGGGTTAAAAAAAGATCTAGATAACCAAACCACTTAACCAGAGTCATCGCATCTAAAAATAAATTTTGTATATAATTAAATAAAGGAATTGATTATTAGTTGGGTTTAAATTAGGTAAAAAATAAAGTCTGCATATAATTATGGAGGGAATATATGCAGTATAAAAAAATAGATTTTGAATATTTAGTCCATAATTTTATTCTGTTACCATATGCAAATAAAATTTAAATTTGTTTTTGACAAATTTAATATATATATATATATATATATATATATATATATATATATATATATATATATATCTATGTTATGCTTCATTTAGAATAATAATGTACATATAATAAATTTATAAAATCAAATGATGAACGAAAGGTATAGAAACAAAATATTCATTAAATCAAAACAGTTCAATAACTTGAAATTGTCATAAATAGCACGAATATCATCGTGTTCAGACCAAATAACATCCCAATAAAATTTTAAAAACAACTAATAGATCCATAAACAGACAATTAAAAATGCAACACAAAAGATTAAAAAGAAAATGTCTCTAAACATATTGAAGATGAAATGTAAAATGTTAATGGTTGGCTTCATATTAGTCCAACTTTTCCAACTTTGGGATCTTCAAGGTAGCTGGAACAAGCACTAATTTTTGAAGAAGACCACTCCAAAGACTCAGTGTTGGCATCAATACTTATAGGGCGCTTCCCCGTACTGGATGATGGTGTTAAAGCTTCAAGGTCAACAACAGCAAGATTGTCATCATGCACAGAATCAATATTATCCTGTAGAAAACACATAAAAGAATAAAAATCCGATCAAAGTAAAATATAAAAAAACATAACATATTTGCACAAATTGATGAAAATGAAATAAAAATATAATGAAAAGAGGGCATAGGGTTTGAATTTGGAAATATATGTGAGACAGTACCCCACCTTATTTGACTTGTTAATAGGAGTACCATTATCATTTAGAATATGGTGTTCATGATTTGGTGGCCGTTTAAAAACCTCAACAAGAACCCTTTCATCATCAGTCAACTTCTGCACAGTGTAAGCACGATAGTTGTTTTGCAGATTGAACATGGATATCTGAACTTTGAAGGCAAACTTCTTATTTAGAAGGATTTTGAACTCATCAGGTTTCTGTTGGTGTCCTTGATCCTAATTTACATTACAACGAAATAGTTGAAAAGTTAATGAAGAAAAACCATATATGTCAATTATTTAAATAATGGAGATATATTATCAAACCTTAGCTATTTTTTCCATCAACCATTGGTTTCCACGATGAATAAGATTTTTTACATGACGTTCAAACAATACGAACGAAGAAGACCCAGTTTCATCTTGCACACGAACTACTATCCTAATCCTAAAAATTATAACATAATATTTATATTTAGCTTGACATACACAATGAAATATATGAAAAAATTTAAATGCATGCATAGTCGAAGAGCTAATAATTACTTACTTTTCATATACATCCGAGACTAATCCACAACCATCACAGTGAAAAGGGCCAGCATCAACATCAACATCATTTTTAGTAACTTTTTTAGAATAATCATGGCAATAAAATGAATACCAGCCTTCATCCATATCAAAATCGATTATAGTAGCGATGATGGTTAAAACAACTTCCTGTTTCATACATTGTTTGAAAGGAATCATATTAAAATCCTATTTCATATGAATGGTACATACAAAATCAAAACAATAATAGAATGCAGAAATTCTTATATAAAAATGTTAACTAAACCTCGTTCAAATTAGGAATCTCATCAATGTTTTTTATTTGAAAACGAAGGTAGTAATCCTCTGGATTGGCCACAACAGTATCTGAGTTAAGTTGCGATGTACGGCTAGAAGACTCAAACATTCATATCCAAAGCATTAAGACTACATATACAAAAAAATGAGGTTAAAAAACAAAATTATAGATTTAGTAAGCTAGATCTCTTAAGTATGGTAAATAACTAATTTAATGTAATAATTACACTTGTCATCATATAAAAACATAAAACATTACAGGATTCATAATTATTAAGAAAACATAATTTGATTTGAACTCTAAAATGTGAGGCATATCATCATTTATATGCAATCTAGATCCAAACAAACAATTACCAACTTGAGGCTGACCTGGAAATAAAAAGTAAAATAATATTGTCAGTAATTACTTTGAAGTTGAAATGATATTCTATTGAAAAAAATCCTTACCACCCCAATTTTGAGTTTGGCCAAATGATAACCGGAGCAGTTTCATTATGATGTTGTGAGATGTAAGTATTCAACTTCAGTGCAAAACTGTCCCACAAAGCAACTGCAATTTTCATACCACTAAAAATGCATGGTGGTTATTAATGAAAGATAAATATAAAAGTGGGAAAGTGTAATAATAAAAGAGATGTGTACCTTAAATCCTGAGCAATCAGATTCATTAACCTTTTTTCTCTTCCATTCTCAACAATGACTCGCATGGGATCAGTTGACACAAATTCACCAAGAAAATCTATGTGACAAAATGTAATAAATTTGTAATAATAATACAAATGTGTATTACATTAAAAATTGAAGTATGGAAATAAGTTAAAATAATAAAATAAGAACATACAAATGCAACACGAGTGTCAAAGTTCCTGGCTAGCAAATCTGGGAAAGAGATAAAATGATAAGGATCTACCATATCAACAAAATCAGTGGATACACGAACTTTTGTGGTTTTATAGAAATTGATTTTATGTTTGTGAGGAACAAGCATGTATTCACCTTCATTGCTAGTCATAACAAAGTTACTGATCTCCCTAACAGCTCCTTCATCGAATAGAGATTCAAATAGAGGAATAATTTTTTTTTATTGTTGTTTGTATTCTACTGCCCTGTAGGTGACAATGAAAGATAAGTGTAAACAAAAAAAATAATAAAAATAATAATGTAGAAACATCCCATATTTTTCTGCGACATATAAAAAGCAATTACAATACCCTTTTTATGCAAAAATGCATAAAAATTGAAGTAATAACATAAACATTTGACAATCTAAATGATAAAGTTTGTAGAAACGTTACACAATTAATAATAAGAAGAAATCGACATACTTAATTGATTATTAAAATTAATAAAGCTATATAAAAATAATATTGAGTGAAGGGATCGGGAACTAAAATCACCAGACATACATAAGAATTTGACAATCTAAAAAATAAAGTTTGTAGAAACAACACCTGCTGGTCAATTAAAATCATGTCTAGGCTCATGACCATATTAGGATTGTTTTTATAGGTCTGCTTCCAAAGCAAGATGACTTTAACACGTATGTTCCAAAACTCTTTGGATGCAGCGATTTCAGCAACCTTATCAAACACGACATGATCTTCATTGTTTGTTGCCATGGAATACTATTATCTGCAATGAAAGGAGATAATTAGTTAGAGAGAAATTTGGTTTGGAATGAAAAATCGTAGAGACTATATTTATAGGGAAAATATAAATTTGGTTAATGCTGATATGACATAAAGATTTTGGAATGTAATATCATTTCCATACTTAAAATATGTCTTATGTATGGTATGATATCGAAAATAATATTAATATAACATGTCAAATATAATTACAAAAATAGATAAAATCATACCTAATTTAAGATAATAATTACCATATAAAAAACTATAAATTTGAAAAGCTTGTAGAATAAGAAAAAAAATATAATAAATATATAATATTTCAATAAATATGAAATATAATTACAAAAATAGATTGCAATGACGAACATACTAATTCAAAATAACAAATAGTGTTCATATTATTTCAAAATATGATTCAAATGATCAATTGTTCATTGATGTAAAAAATTTGCTGAAAATTAATACCTGTAATATTTTTGCAGATTGTGAATTTGCATACCAATACCTTAACGTAAGTGCATGCACTCCAAAACTAACCATGCTAACAACTCTAGATAAGCCATATGTTGACAAGGAGATCATCTGGAAACGGAACAAAAATATCATCCAAATCTGAGACGACCATAATTTGAGGCTGTGTCAAAGATGACTGGAAAAAGGAAAACAACAAGGGTGGTTTGTTTTAAGTTCAACATTATTTAACATTATAATAACGAATAATGTATAATGTATAGGCAGTTAAACTATAAATCACTTGCCTTCATATTATAAAAAATGAATGGTGCTGTCGAAAGTAATGAACCAAATCTGTGTTATGGGGCTGCCTGGCAACTTATCCAGACAAGATTTGATAGTTTGTGCCATCACCTAACAAAAAGAAATGCATAAATGTTATCATGTGAATTTGATACTTGGATCATATACGAATCAATGAATCAAAGAATCAAGTGTTTGAATAGGGTTCCAAGGTCAATTAAGGAGGAAGACGTCTTAAAAATTTTAGTCTAAATAATGACCAATTTAACCTTTTCCTGTTCATGACTTTATTGTACCCATTTTTTTGGTTGTTATAACAAGGCTGCTAGAGTAACCATCACCATCATCATGCATGTATGTGCATGCAAGGTAAACTTAATCACACAAATAGTGATATATAATCAATCAAACAGAGCAAAAAGTGGTTACCAATACCTGATAAATTAAGTGTTTATTAGTTACTGCAACAAGTGTTTCCAGTTTGTCTTTGATTTTCTCTGATACGAATTTACATCTTCCAAAACCTATAGATAAACTTATGTAAATGAGAAACGGAGCATCAAACCAATTATTACATAGATTAAAGAAAGATGACAACTAAATGCATGATGCATCAAGGCATAATTCTTGATCATTGTTGTACTGTACTCCATGTGAATTCGGCTTACGTGATAAGATAGCCTAGTAGGAAAACAAAAATTTTAATCAATGGTTTGTTTGGTTATGATGGAATGGAATCAGAAAGGAATGGAATGGAATCACAAGGGTCATTACACTCTGTGAGGAATACTCGTAGATCAAATGGATAAAAGTGACAAACTATAATGCTTTTTATGTTATTAGCCCTTTATTGAAGAAAAATTGATTATCTATGAATCAAAATTGCAATAATCAGACTGAAACCAACATTCACCTTCGAATCACATAACATCATTTGCCTCCAGAACTATCATCAAAGTTGCATATAAAGGTCGTGTAACCACCACAAAAACTCTTGGATCTAATAACCAACTACCCTGGCTTATCTTTATAGTTAAAAGTCTGCATCCAACAAGTGTTTTTACCCCCTCACAAGGTTAAGCAGATGAATGATCAGGGGGCATAGTTGTCAAAATCTCTGCTTTTTTGTTCTTGACTTCACAAATTTGATCAGCAAGAAAATTATCGTCTTTCTTTATGTCTCTCTTCAAAATCTCAAGGTCAAGTCTTTCCCAAGCTCTTTGATCTCGACTACTAAGCTGCTCATTTACAGATCTTTTCCTGTGAATCTGCCACCCAACAACAAAAAAAAAAAAAAGATCCTTAAAAGTTCTTTTGTCTGTGCAAAAACATAAATACCCTCATCATAGAAATAATCCCAAAAAGCTTCATGATTTTTTTTCTTTCAAGAAAATGATGTTGAATTACAAGCTTTTACCTTTGTTAATCTCTCTTTCAGTTTCAAATCTTCAGCTGCTGCCATTTATTTAAAGTAATCACTGTTCACGACGAACATCAAGTTTGCTCTGCTTCAATTTGGCCGTTTTATTCACCTTGAAAACCGAACAAAAATTCACAATTACTCAAACGAATATGTAAAATACACTTTTCAATTTGGCGGAATGCGCTCCCCTATCTTTTGTTCATCTCCATGGAATAAATGAAAGACATGTCCCAGATAAAAAAGACAATAATTTTGTGGTACAAAATGACATGAAAACATATGATGCATATAAATCTAGTGCATACAATTACAAACATAAAAGGAAAAGGTCTCATAAAAGGAAAAGGTCTCACAAGAAGATGACCATAAAGCATTAATCATTCGCTTCATCTCAGCAGTCCTGCGAGGATCTGGATCTTCAATTGCTCTCTCAGTCAACACATGTTTGATTCTGCACATTGATTTCCTAACCTGCACCCACACATCACTTAACTTATTCAGACAACAACACTTCATACATATAATAGCACCTGGTTTATGGTGAAATGATAATAATAATAATAATAATTATAATAATAATAATAATAATAATAATAATAATAATAATAACATTAGGTAGGCGTTCAGGATTAGGAAAGCGCAAGTTTTGAGCATGAAGCATCTGGCGTTGAGTCATGAGCATGTTTTTTTCTTTGAGCAGGACATACCATAACTTATGTAGATCCTCCCATATCACTTCAAACGTAGCTCTGAAGCCTTCCAGCTACGCCCTGAACAAAAACATGATTCAAATAGTATAATGAACAAAAAAGAATATATATATATATATATATATATATATATATATATATATATAAGTATCCTAAGAAACAGTATTCTTTATACTGAACTTCAAATTATAAAAAATAGAGATGTATATACCGTAGACAACAGGTTTGTCCTCTTCTGGGTTTCTATCAATCTCAAAGAACTCCTCAAGAGGGTTATGTGCAGTCCTAACTCTACTACCAGCTGCAGCCCCAGCAGCAGAAGCTTCTGATGTTGCAGTTGCAAAGAGTCTCCTTCAAAAAACTCGTGCCAAAAACATGAATGCTGCATCAGATTTAACAAAAGAATATTAAACTTTTATATGCTAACCATCTGATAGACTACACAGCTCGTGTCTCCCAACAATAGGGCTTTCACAGTTGTTTGTAGTTCACGATTTATATGAATTTAACCGAGCTTGCAACAAAGCCCCAAATGCAAAATATGAACAATTCGTCAAACAGTTGGCAGGCATAAAACCAGAACAAAAGGAAACGTATAGAAAATGTACAAAAGAATAGAAAAAGTAATATAAATAGACAATTGTAACGATATTCCGGTAAGGAAATATGTCATTTGCTCCGATGAAGGTAAAGTTTTTGCGTTTATGGTGACGGCGAGGTAGAACGACAAGCAATTAGTGACTGTGTTCGTTTAACTAAGAATAAACGCGATATGGTATGCTAATAGATAAACGTACCAAAATGAAATGGCGACCAATAAACTATTTGGATGAGAGTATACAATCAATCGGACTCTGAAATGGCGACGCAAAGACAGAAAGGAACCTTTCGAGATCGGCTGCAGAGACACCCCCTTTTTGCTTGCTGTCGCGAGAAGAGGCGTACGAAGGCGGTGGAGATTAGAAGATGTGTCATCTTGGCCGATTGAAGTAGAAGCGAATGGTTTGCTTTTCTTTCTTAACGTTATATCGGAAGAAGAGACAGACAGAGTAAATGACGAATGGAAGGCAACATTACGCAACGGGTTTTTGGGTGTAAGGACGATGATTTCATCAAATAATTTAAGGGGATTGAAATGCCATAAATGATTATAATTGCTTAAGTAGAAAATTTAAGGTTCTCTTTTAATAATATTTATAGATAGGTCCTCATACCTATGGTTCCTTCTAATTTAACCTAAACACCCATAATATATAAATTATTCATTATCTTTTTATCTGTTTCTTCAAATGTAGTTCAAAGAAAATGCTTTGGTAAATCATCAAATAATTTAAGGGGATTGAAATGCCATAAATGGTTATAATTTCTTAAGTGGAAAATTTAAGGTTCTCTTTTAATAATATTTATAGATAGGTCCTCACACCTATCGTTCCTTCTAATTTAACCTAAACACCCATAATATATAAATTATTCATTATCTTTTTATCTGTTTCTTCAAATGTAGTTCAAAGAAAATGCTTTGGTGCGGTCATTAACATCGTTTTTTGTTTTCTTTGTAATTTTCAGAACAACAACATATTTGAAGTTGTCAACCCCAAGAGGGCGTAGATATGTGACAAGATTGTTCCTTATTTTTTGATATTTGGTTTGAAATACCTCCAACTATTTGATATCTAGTGTACATGTCCTGTCGTTTGAGATTTATTTTTTGCTAAGCAAAACAAAATATGCCACTAGAATCATTTATATGGGAGTGATGTTGGATATCAATGCAAGTTCCAAAGGAAAATAAACCTTAGGAAATTTTATACTCCCTTCGTCCCAAATTAATCGTCCACTTTTGACTTTCAAAGTTTTTTTTTCTTCAATTTTGACCTTAAATATTTTTATTTGTGTTATATATTACTTGACGAAACTTATTACAATGAAAAAACATTTAAAATACAATTCATTCATATATTTTGCATCAAGTATTATCTATCAAAAAAAAAATATTCAAAGTCAAAATTGAAGAATAAAGACTTCAAAAGTAAATGTTGACAATTAATTTGGGACGAAGGTAGTATATGCCTATTTTCTTGATAAAGTGTAGTCATTTCCATTATTTTATCCAAATCTAAATATGCTAAGCCAAATGAGTTTACTTTGAGTAGATGAAAGTTAATAGGGTTGACACCATCCTTCAACACATCTTCAAAAGAATCAAATTAATCAAGAGTGTTATCAGCTAGTTCCTCGAGCTCAGAGACAAGGAATTGACCGGTTAACTTTAATCAAAAAACAAGAAGGTTAGAGAACTTCATGTACCTAACTCTTTCATCTCTTGGAACATATGTGTTTAACTTATTAATAAATCTAAGCTTGCTCTTGGTTATAGGATCTGTAAAAATGAAAGATCTATTAACAACTCTAAGACAATATTTGAAGAGTAAAAACAAACCCTAATTACAAAATTTAATCGTATCATAAACCTAATTTACTTTGTGGTCTTCTTATTCCAGTCGCACTAAAACATCCAAGTTCCCGGTATTTATTCTTAAGTTTAAATTTATCTTTTTGGGGCTAAGTTGTCTTGGAATATTAATTTCGTGTTGGGATTGAGTTAGGCTGGTGGGCACGATGCGCTTTAGGCCCATGTGCTTGTCTAGGATATTAGGGTTTTAAGGATTGTTTAAGGAGTCTTAACCCGAAAGACTGATCATTCTCAGCCTTCATCAACCCTAACTTGTCCTTGTGTGAAACCCTAACCCCTTTTGATTGTTGTGATCCATCCTCGATTTTATTTTGTGTGATTTTGGTGCTTAAAGTGATGGATTCATCCAAATATTGGCTATTTGTGTTGTTGCATGTGCAGATGCAACCATCCTTACACTCATGGGTCGTTATAAGTCCTAAGGTTCATTGCTTTATTTATTTCCATCTTAAGATCTAGGAATATTTGGTGATTTTATCCATATTCATGATGTTTTGGTCCCTCTTTGGTTTGATCTATGGAGTTTGGGTAACTCCATGATCTTAGGACCATACATGTAACACCCGGATTTACAGGTATATTATTTTTAATTATTTATTTTTGTGAATAATTGACCTACTCGACGAGTTGGTGCTATAACTCGTCAAGTAGAAGCGGGGTGGCCACGTAAGTTTAATGAACTACGCGACGAGTCCATGAGTAGACTCGCCGAGTAGGCGCTGTGGGTGGAAACCCTAAATCCTCGGGCCTGTGCCCTATTTAAGGAATCTTATGGCCCTCATTTGCGGCTACCAGGCCAGAGAAAGAAACCCTAGTGAGCTTAAGTGTGTGGTGTGAGGAGAAAGGCTATTTTAATCCTTGTTGGTGTTGTTTTTGCAAAGAAGAAGGAGATTCCAGCAAAAGAAGGTCAAGGGGGTTGCTATTCTGTGATTTCAAGCAAGGAAACTCCATCTTTGAGGTATTAAATCGAACCCTTTTCTGTTTTGGTGAAGAACCCTTGAATCTAGGGTTTTCTCTATCATTTATTGGCTTGGATATGATGCTTATGATGTCCCTTTGAGTGTTAAACTCTGGATCTGGACCTTGAGAGGTCCAGAGAGCCCCCAACCTCCCTGCTTTATGCTAATTCCTTAGAGATATGAGCCTAGGTTGCCATTTTAGAGGCTATTTCACCAAAAGAAGCATATTGAACGTTGCATGAGTGTAAAGGTCGGACCTTTACGTGATTATTGAGTATGGTAAGGTCAGATCTATAGGTTAGAGAAACAAATATGACCTCAGAAGGTCATTTGAGTGTTGTCATGGAAGGAACTCGCCGAGTCCGTAAGGGGACTCGACGAGTCGAGTCGGGTTGCCCCGCGATTCATGACCGGTGGTAACCCGTCGAGTGAAAGGTTAACCCGACGAGTCGAGTGAGGATCTATGAGGGATTCGGAAGACACCGGACTCGCCGAGTCACACAAGTGTACTCGACGAGTCTGGTCAAAGTTTGACCATTGACTTGAGTTGACTTCAATTGACCTTAGGGTTCTGGTCAAGCTAGTTCTAGAGAAAGATCTGGGAGGGGTAGAATGGTCTTCTACCCACTCCTTAGAAATGAGGACAAGAGAAAGTATTGATTAGAGATGTTATTATGTTGATAGGAGAAGGCTAGGTCAGGTTATCGAGCACGAGAGGTTATCCGACATCGTACGAGGTGAGTCTTCTCACTATACTTTACCTAGAGTGGTAATATGTGTGATCGGAAGGTCTTATGTGCTATGAGGAGTATGTGATGTATGTTGTTATTTAACATGTATGTGTTATGTTATGTTATGAGTAATATGTTATGGACCGGAAGGTCATTATGATATGGACTGGAAGGTCATTATGTTATGGACCGGAAGGTCATTATGATATGGACCAGAAGGTCAACCAGGATTGTGGGACGGAAGTCCCCTGAGACACATTGACCGGAAGGTCTTGTAGAGCTATAGCCTTGAGTGGCGTATGTGCGTATGTGGTATTTTGGGGAACTCACTAAGCATTTATGCTTACATTGTTTGTGTGATGTGTTTCAGGTACCAGTGAGGATCGCGGGAAGGCGCCGGCATGATCTATACACATTGATGGGATTTATGTATTAGAGATCTTGGGATTTGTTTTATTATGATGACATGTGACACAATGGATTCTTATGATATCTTATGAATGACATTATGTTTTAAAAATGAAAAATTGTTTTGAAAATTTACGTTGTTACAACTTGGTATCAGAGCCTTGGTTTGAGGGATTCGGATACACCTCTGGGCGTATCTGAACTCAAACTGAGGATTTGAGAAAGTTTTTCACAAAAGAAACAATTTTTCTAAAAAGTAAAAGAATTTGAGAAAAGCGGAAAGAAACAGTGTGTACGATCAGTCAGCGCCCGAACGGTGATTTCCCAAAATACCCTTACATTATGTGTTATGAGATATGATATGATATGTTATGTATGCTAGAGAAGGCTAGGTATTCATGTTAGGACTAGAGTGGCCTGATTTGTGATGCCTTAGACTAGGAGATTACTGCTGCTATGAGATGTTTGAGAGTGAGTAGGTAGCAGTGAGGAGCTTATGAGGGGCCTACCAAAGGGTAGCTTGTGCTTAGCAAGAAGTAGAGTACTTGTGATCTGGGATCCTAGAAGGAGGACTTGGGGTGAATACTGATGCGGTTTGGACAGTAGTATAGGGCCCGTACTACTGAAAACACTGGATCAGTGCACAGTCCAAGTAAGAATCCTTAGGGTACTAAGGAACAAGTAGGGATGGGTTATCGAGTGCGTGCATACTCGAGCGAGTCTCTGATATTTTATATTGTATTTTAGAGACATCATGGTTGGGACACGCCACAGATCAGAGACCAGCGGCGTGAGTGACGAGGAGCTTCGTCAGATGATCCACGATGAGGTGGCTGCGGCTATCCGTACAGAGATACCAGAGATGTTTGGGTCTATCAAGACCACCCTGATTGAGACGTTTGACGAGAGATACGCAGCGGTTACTGAGGCTGCAGCCTCTGCAGCTACTGCATCTGTTGCTGCTGCTAGACCTCAGGGAGGTGACTCGTTGCTGTTCCGGGAGTTCAGCAACACGAAGCCACCAGAGTTTGATGGGACGCAGGATCCGATTGCTGCGATGAGATGGATTTCTGACATTGAGGGATGCTTCTACACCTGCTCGTGTCCGGAGCATCTGAAAGTACGATTCGCGCTGAACCAGCTTCGCTTGGGGGCGAAGGACTGGTGGAAGTTTGTGTCGGCGGATTTCACCCCTGCTGAGCTTACTGCGGTGACCTGGGAGAGGTTCACCACTATGTTTCGTAATGAGTACGTTCCCCCGGTGAAAAAGGAACGGCTGGCCCAGGAGTTCTTGTCCCTCAAGCAGGGTACTGATTCTATTACTGTGATCACCAGGAAGTTTCATGAGAGGGCAATGTTTTTGCCCTGAGCATGTGTCTACCGAGCAGGCACGCATGAGCCGGTATTTGAGCATATTGAGGAGAGACATTCGCGAGTTCGTGGCGAACTCGACATACCGGACGTTTGCCGAGCTTCAGGCAAATGCCTGGAAGAGGGAGATTGAGCTAGAGA